AGGCAGGAAACAAATGCTCTGTGGAATGTACCCCAGCTTTGGGAGCACCTGCTCCATACATACTGGAGAAAGTATGTATGTGGCCAAGAGATACATTTACCCTCTGCACTTTAAATTTACGTATAATTTCCTTTGAATAAGGCAAACCAAGATCTTAGACTCAGTGTATGCCCAGCACTGTGCTGTGTGCAAAGGACCAAACACTTAGAAGGCACAGCTCCTGCCCTCTGGGGACTTATGAGTCCATCGAACACTAAAATCACCTATACAAGGATTCAGCGTGCAAGATGAGCTAATGAGTATGAGGAAGGGAGAGGCCAGTGTAGACTGGAGTAGGTGGAGGTGGTCTAAGGAGCACTAGCCCCTCAAGGATGTGTGGTCCTTGATCCCCTGGCTGTATCGACAATAGTCTTATGTCCAGGGTCAATCAAGGATGACCACCCCAACAAGCCAATGGCTGGTAAGACCCCAACTATGATTCCAGCCAGGGTCACTGTCACCAAACTACCTTTCTCCATTGTTGTCTGTGTCCCTCCATCTACTTTTCCATGGAGAGAGCAGTCACCATATTAGGTTGGATAAACCTAAGTAGAAGAGAGGGAGGGGAATACCTGGCTGTGGGGTGAGAGGTGCAGCACGGTTAGAGGCACCAAAGTGGGACAAGCGTGAAGGGAAATGGTGAAGAGACATGTCTGATGGAGATAGAGGACCAATTTTAGTTGAAAGGGAAAAAAGACAAAGCCTCCAAAGGGCTGAATAAGACAGTGTCTGGGGCCTGGTATAGACACTACACCACTGGAGTCATTTGGTTCACAAACACCAGAGAGCCTTGGGGTGCCAGGCCTTGGTGGGGTGGGATTTATCATGAAAGGCTTCATTAAGTCAAATGCCAAAATCCTCTTAACTCAGTCCATGAAGATCACACGGGATAGTTGCTGAGCCACTCATAGGCTGGTGACAGGCAGTGACAAGTCCCACTGGATCTTGGATCGACTTAGTCAACCTTGATGGACTACTGTGCTTCCAACAAGTCAGAGACCAGCAGCTCTACCCTGAGGAAGTTCTTGTCTCAGTAAACATTCCTAAAGGCCTTCCAAGCCTATTGCTGACCAAGTGAATCATGAGAGTGCTGAGGTCAGTAGAACCAGTACAATCCGCTGGAGTTGATAAGAGACTGCATACAGATAGGCTGGACAAAGTGCTAGGACCCCATCATCCAGGCCAGGATAAAGACAGGCTGACGCAGGAGGCTGTGAAAGAGGTCTCTGCAGAATCAGCCCACTCACTACCTGGTCGGGCAAGTCAGGGGTCACCAGATTCAGTGTGTCAACAAGCAGCTTTATTCCCAATAGTCTCATTTCCAGTGGCAAACATTTAAGGCCATTGCCTTTCCAGGTACCAGAGCAACAGAACTACCACTTACCAGATATGTGGCCCTGGGACAGTTACTTAATGTCACTGAGCATCAGTTTCCCTCCACTGCACACCAGAAGGGGTAGGTAATTATCTCTACTTAAAAGAGATACTATGGGTAGACTTTCCAGTAGCTGTCCAGCACATAGGAAGCCCTCAGCCAGGATGAGCTCTCTTTTTCCCTCTTCCACTTAAGTCAGTTTCTAACTCCTTGTCAATATCAGATGTTCTGTTTCGAGATGTCCCCAAAGAAGAGATGGGCATGATCTTTGTAGTATAACTGCCCTTCGATTTACATACAAAGGTCTTAACAGCTCCTCATTTCTATTTAAACAGAGGATTTCTAGTTGGGGATCACATGGTCCACCTCTGAGCTCTGACCCTGCCATCTCTCTCAGCTCTACCGCACCCCTGCATCCTCCCACAAGCCACTCACAACCTCACAACTCTTAGAGTAGAGTGACCCATGGAGACCCAGAGATCTACAACAAGCTTCCCCACAGAGGGTTGGTACCATGGCCTCGCCACAGCAGTACAAGGGCTGCCTGACCTTCCAAACTCCAAAACTTGTATTTATTCTAATGACATGAATTAAGAGCCTGAAAATACCAGGCTCTGTGCCAGGGGAAGAACGAGAGAGTGCATTTCTGATCTCATGGTGCATGGTCACATGGGGGAGAAACAGACCGGGATGTGTTTATAGCAGAGTGCGGCGAGAGCAGCAACGGCTGACCTCAGGGCTGCTGGGGACATGTCACCCTCATAGGGTGCCTCCAGACACGAGTCACCTGAGGTCACACTCCAAATGAGGGTCAGTTCATCTGCTGGCCAGGCATATGAGACAGACAGAAACAGAAAACTCCTTCCTGATTTCTAAAAGTATCTCCAAATCCTGGTTTAGGAATTCACCCGCCTAGAGGTGGGAGGGTTTTTTTTTTCCTGAGGTGCAATTCACGTAACATAAAATTAACCACTTTAAAGTGAACAATTCAGCGGCATTTGGTACATTCACAATGTTGTGCAACCACCACCTCTATCTAGTTTCAAAACACTTTCAACATCCCCAAAGGAAATCCTGTACCCATTAAGCAGTTACTCCCCATTCCTCTTTCCTCCCAATCCCTGGCAACCAAGGATCGATCTGCTTTCCATTTCTATGGATTTGAAAGTGGGAGGATTTGCAAGAAAAAAGTTTCTCCAAGTTTCTAATTCTCTGGTCCATGCACTAAACTAGACTCATCAGAAATGGAGGCAGAGTTTGCCTTCAGAACTAAATGAGCCAGAGTTCAAATGCCAGCTCCAATCTCTTCATACTGTGTCCAGTTTATTTCTAAGTCTTGGTTCCCCTGTCTACAAAAAAACATACCTACCTCACAGGACTGCTTTGAAGATCAAAAGATAAAAGCCCCATAAATGAGTAAGCACAGGGCCTTCGCTGGAGGTGCAGTGGTTAAGAATCCACCTGCCAATGCAGGGGACATGGGTTGGGGCCCTGGCCCGGGAAGATCCCACATGCCACGGAGCAACTAAGCCCGTGCGCCACAACTACTGAGCCTGGGCTCTAGAGCCCACGAGCCACAACTACTGAAGCCTGCGCACCTAGAGCCCGTGCTCCGCAATAAGAGAAGCCATTGCAATGAGAAGCCCGCGCACCACGACAAAGAGTAGCCCCTGCTCGCTGCAACTAGAGAAAGCCCACACGCAACGAGGGCCCAATGCAGCCACAAATAAATAAATTAAATAAATAAATTAAAACAAACAGTAAGCACAGCACTGCCCCACGGTAAATATTCAAAGAATGGTAGCTGTAATATTTACATTCTAGAAAAATGTCAACCTGAAAAGTCTCTAATAAATATATGAAGTCAATATCTGCCCGGGTCACCATACATAAGAATCCTTTTAAAAATGAAAATTTCCAGGAAATCCAGAGAGAGGTTAATTCTACACAGGAGTGGATGGAACACGGTTTTTAACATCACACCAACTGCAGCTTCTCTTCCAGTTGACAGCTGGCTGCTTTGTGATCATGGGAAGGTGGCTTCACCTCTCTTAACCACCCATCTCCTAATACTGTCTTAATGAAATGTCAGAGTACCCACTATGAGCTGGTGCGTAACTGGCTTCCTCTTACCCCTCCCCCATAGTTTCCTTCCTTTCTCCTTCCTGGACCCACAGCCTCCCTCTAGCATCTGTGGCCCCCATTGCAGGTTTAGGGCCTAGGCACTCAATGATACACTGATATTATTTTAGGGGTCATTTTGCCCCCAGAGAGTTAGAATAAAAGTTGGGAGAAAAGACTATTTCAGCTCAGGACCTCAACAAATGCTCGGCTGAAGCATTCTGTTTGGTCTGGATAATGTTTGAAAAAAACCCATTAAGTTGGTGTATGTTTATCTGGGTGCACCTGCCTTGCATTTTGCCTCTCACCTGCATCTTATTACATATCACCTACTTTACTTAGCTCTATTGCCTGCCTCTTCTATAAGTATTTGTGACTCTTGTTTTATTTCAGTTTTTGTCCCTTTTATTGTGCCAAGCGTACAAGTGATGCCTACAAGATTTTATACCAAGTCTCTTCCAAGATTATTCTGTGTTCACCTCAAATACTTGTCCATTGGAGGGGACAACCATAAAGTAACTCTCACGCTGGAATACAGAGGGAGGGATCACCAAAACCAATTATTCCTTTTTTTTTTTTTTAACTGAACCAATCTTTCATTTTTAAATTAAATTTAGTTTAATTTAATTCTATTATTTTTTAAGACTGCCTCTGTTAGAGAATACCAATTACCTACAAACTGGAGCTATAGAGCCAATCCTACTTTTCAAATCACCAACAAGATGGATACCCACAGAAGGTAGTAAGCCGCAACTATGGAGTCCCTTTCCAACACTCACTCCTTGAAGGTCAAGTTCATCTTAGATTCAACTTGTGGCCCTACTCCTTAAAACAGATCCAACTTCATCCAGAAACCATTCCATTAGTCACGCATCGGGCAGCTCTTCCCCTCAGAAGGACTGAAAATCCATCAGGAAAATTGAGGACAACCCCCAGTGCAGCACAGGCGAGCTATAGGCAGAGGCTCAGGCCCACAAAATGGGGTCTGGGTTGTGGTTCTCCTTCCGCAAGAGAGGCAGGAGAAAGGACTCCTCCACAACCTGCCTTTTCCTCCACCCTCCTGATGAAGAGGTTTGTTTTTTTTGTTTTTTTTTTTTTTCTGCGGTACGCGGGCCTCTCACCGTTGCGGCCTCTCCCGCTGCGGAGCACAGGCTCCGGACGCGCAGGCTCAGCGGCCATGGCTCACGGGTCCAGCCGCTCCGCGGCATGTGGGATCTTCCCGAAACGGGGCACGGACCCGCGTCCCCTGCATCGGCAGGCGGACTCTCAACCACTGCGCCACCAGGGAAGCCTGAGGAGGGTTTAAAGAAGTCCCTTAGAGATCAGGGAGAAAGTGAGCACTGACACGTGCCTGTGACACAGCAAGCTGCAGATTCACCAGAGCTGGGGGTCAGGGTGCCACCGGGGCTTCTGCCCCATGCCCACGAGACCCCTTACTAAATACCCCCTCCAGCTGCCCCCTTACCCTGCGAGGGGGCCGCATCTCTTGGTGCTTCCAGTGAATGGGGCCTTCTGGCTCTGAGTTCCTCGTGGCACAAGTCCCTGGCCTCTCCCCTGACCCCCGGTTCCTCCAGAGTCACAGGGGCTTCAGAGCATCTCTGCAGGCTGAGGGTTCCCGGTTCTGAGCTGTCTGAGCCGTCAGGCCCCTGTCTGAGCTGCCCCGTGTCAGGAGTCAGGCCATGGCCGGCTTCTAATGTGCTCGGGGACTTCACTTCCTGGTTTTTCTTTCACAACTGAAAGTGGAAGCGTTCTGACCAGAAGGAGAAAAGCCGCTAAAGCTCTCCTGGCTCCGTTTCAAAGCCTTTACCATCAGTCCCTAAGGGCTGACACAGAAGCCAGCCTGCATCCACGCAACTCACGCTCTCCCTGTTTGTCTGACTACCGCTAAACCGAGACCAAAAACCAGACGGAGATGACTGAGGTGCCCCCTGCAGACCACCAGTGTCAGAGTGGTGAGACCCCCTCCCTGGGTTCCCAGGACAGGAAGGTCCAGCTGCAGGGCACCGTGGCCCTCGCAGCCTTCCCAAGACTGTGGGGACACCTGGAGGCCAGCCTGGCCTGGCCAGCATTGCCGGCCAGCCGTGCACTGTGTCACCCACTCTCCAGTCCCCAGTGAGCCTGCCTCAGTCCCCAAAGCAGTGCTGATAAAGCCAAGAAAACGAGCACGTCAGGAACGACAGGGACAGCCACGGAGATCTGTTCCTTTCCTCTGACACATCCTTTTCGTACCTCAAATTTTTAATTAAAAATGGATTCTGCTGCCTCCCTCACCTCCCAGATTACAACCGGGAAATTTTAAAATCAGGAATCCACAAGTACACACGCCGTTAGCTGTCAGATTGATCCTGCATCTTGGAGCCTCTGGAAGACTCCACTGTATATTCGTGAGACAATGACAGTGGAAAAGACAAATTACTTCTTGGCATTATTATAAAAATTGCTCTGAATGTGCAGACGCCCTGAAAGAGTCTTGGGGATTGGTCTACAGGGCATCAGGATTCACCTACGGCTGTGGCCACAGAAGGACGTGGGAGCTTCCATTCTCAGATTCGAAGGCAGAAAGAACAAGTTTTCCTGCCCCTTCCTGCCCCCGCCCCTCCCCACCACCTCTCAGACACCCCAGAATTAAGCAGCACTTTCCCCAGCCTTGGTTCCTTAAAGAAGGCTCAAGGTAAATCCAGCATGAGCTCAGTTCTTTACTAGAGTTAGACTGGGATTCCTTCTCTACACAGAAGAGGGCCTAAAAGCCTCCAACCATAAGAACCGAAGTGAGCCGTGCCCCAATCTCAGGGAACATAAGAGCTGGTCCCTTGGCCTCATGGGAGCCCACTTTAGACATGGGAGAACGATGAAATATGGGAAGATGAGGGCGCCCCCTCTGCTTTTCCATCTTTGGGTTCATCTCATGGCTGGAGGAACACTTGGCTTTGCTTAGTTTCCAAGCTCACCTCCCACCACAGGGGCAGCTCCCTTCAGCGACAAGCAGAGGATGGCAGAGGACGGCAGAGTGGGTGTCAAGTCTCAGCCATTATAATGCTACTGGGCTCTTCCCTGGGTGCTGTCTTCTTTTACCAACCCGACGAAGAGCTTAGGGCCAGGAGAAGATGGTTTCCTCCAGGATCAAATGCTCAAGTACAGAAGAGTCTGGGTCATTCTAAAGCTCTAGCATCTAGAGGTGCATTCCTGTTCAATCCTACATGCATGAGGGTCACCCCCAAGATGTGAGGGAATGATGGAAGGTTTTCACAGCCCCCAAGAATTCTGTATCATGCAGCAGGCTGCAGTGACATACTGACCAGGACTCAAATTCCTGCCCCACCTCCTCTTAGCTATGCAGCCCAGGCTGCGCTGTTTAACAGCCCAAAGGCACATTATTCATCTGTTATATGGGAGCTATACCACCTACCTTACAGGAGGTAACGAGCCAATGAGGTAATGCACATCACATACCTTGTACAGACACCAGCATGGGATAGAAAGTCTGTTAAGAATTCCCTTCCCTGCTCCCTTCCAAATGGGAAAGCCTGTCAGCAGCAGCTGATGGATGGCCTTTCTAATCATATTGATACAGACATTTCTAAATGGAAGATGAAGGAGACCCACATCCTGGCTTTGGCTATAACCTTTAAAGCTTTTAAGTCTGTTTTATTTGCATTTAGTGAAATTAACAACTCTCTCTTCCAAGTCCATCTTCTGCCAGCATTCAGAGCCCCTTCCATGTCTCCACCCCCTTTTCAATTGATATTTTCTTTGCCTCCCACGCAAGTCAGCTGAGATTACTATTCAACCAAATGTTATTTCATGTTGTGAAAGAGCCTTAGGCTGAGAATAGACGCACGGCCCACTGTCTTCTCCCCAACCACCCCTATCTCTGCTTTCCCATAAACATATAAGCTATGGAGCAGGTAGCCTTATTGTAGCTTACCTTGTAAGAATACTCTCACTTCCGGGGTCCAGGAAACGCGCCCCTCACAGCTGGCTGTGGTCGTTCAGCACCACATTCAGCTCCTGAGTCCGGACGTTTCCTTTAGTGATGATGCCTTTCCTCAGCGCCAGAGCCGGGACCACACCTGAAGCCAATGAGAGTGGCTAACCAGCTCTCCTGGAACCTTTGAACCTGTTGCAACAGAAGTTCAAAGGTAGAAGTTACCTGTTCAAACACTTGTGGTAAAACCTCTGACAGTGAGAAGTGTAGGATTTGGCAAAAGTTTAAAACAGGAGGCTGTTATGCAACGGGCTTTAGAGGAAGAAAAAAAAGAGAGAGAGAGAGAGAGTCCTCAGCCCAGAAAGCTAACGTTTAACAAGCAAAACATTGTATAAAGCCCATACCTCAGGGAAACGGGAGGGTTTAGACAGGGCTTTGCACCTGCTTTTTGGGCAGAATCCTTGAGATTGTGACAGGAAGAGGAAAAAAGTGCTCCTTGAGTTTAGGGGGGAGAGAAAAATGAGACACCACTCTAACTGCGTCTAGCTTTAAGATTCATATAAGCAGAGGCCTGCATTTTAGAGATGAGCCTTCTTCTAGAAGGGACCAGTGACCCCTACAGAATTACAATGTCTCCAAGACAATCAAATAAGGCAAATCACTCTAGAATCTAGACAGAAGGACAGGCATAGCCGGGTGGGATTTAGAATGCAGAATCATGGATACAGCCTACACCACCCACGGCTCAGCGAGCTCTGGAAGAAGCAGGGTTGCTGTTGCATCACGGTCCAGCCTATCCTCCTCTGTCTTTCCATTTTAGAGTCACTAGTCACCATTCTCGAGTCCAAAATCTTCAAGACTGCAAGGCATCATCACTAAACAAAAACGCTGGATGGAGATGCAAGCGGCTCTGGAGATCATTTGTGATCTCTATTTTATAGGTGAGGCCAATGAGGCCTTTTCAGGTGAAAGAAATCACTCAGACTCATGCAGTCAATTAGTAGTCAAGGTAAGACCTGACCCAGGCCCACAGACAACCACCGCAGTGCCTTTGCCCCCATATGGTGCTGCTTTGTTGCTAAGTGTTCATTTCACCGCTAGCAGACCTCAAATACTTGAACGCTTTCTGAGTATCAGGCCTGCAGAAATTCATAGAAATGCTGCATTAGGTTTATTCTCACTGTATTTGGTCGGGCGGCTAATATCAAAATCAGAAACCAATACCACTTCCTGCTGACTCTCTATGGAGGAGCGGCTACCTCACTGACATAGAGGTCTTATTTGGCCAGATTCTTATCCAGGTCGTAGGTGCATTGACTCTGTAAGCTCACTTCTTGCCATGGAGCCCTAGTCCTACCATAGGACCAGAAAGAAAAGGCTTCTAAGGGGTGGCTAAAGAAGATACAGTTCAATGGGAACTGGGGGCTGAGGTCCCACTTGACTGGATTAATGCCAACTTGTGTTAAGTAGCAACCCACTGAACACCTGCTGATGCCACACTAGCCAGAGAGCAAGATGCTCCAAGCCAGTTGTTCCCAAACTCCAGTGAGATGACAGTCTCCTGGAGAGCTTGTTATACTGATTGCTGGGCCCATGCTGTAGTTTCTGATTCAGTGGGCCTGGGTTGGGGCCTGAGAATCTGCATTTCTCACAATTCCAGGTGTGGAGGCTGCTGGTTTGGGGACACTCTTGGACCCCCACTGCTCCAAGCAGCCACCCCGCCTTCCACGGGCTCAACTACTGAACTGTTCAGAGGAACTCTGCATGAGGTCGTTTTGGCTCTGGTGATCTTGCCATTGGGAGGACAACTTAACACAGATTGGAACTCATGATGTGTTCCAGAAGAGAGGTGTTGCTCAAGTCCAGCGAGAGGGCCAAGACCCAGGGAGGGCGCTTTGACAACAGCAGGAGTTATTGCCACTCACTCTTCTCTTTAGGTAAGTGTAAGTCAGTGCTGACAGCATCCCAGCTAGACCACCCATGTGGGTATGAGTGCAGGTGTGGAGGGGGCATCACCTGATCTAATAACCTTAACTGTATTCTCAGGGGCACCTGAGACCCCAAAAGGTGCAGCAGCCGGCTAGGGTGAGGCATCAACTTAGTAGGAGAGGGAAGTCCAGAACCCAGGCCTCCAGTGCCCTAGCAGGCCACACTGTCTCCTGATCAACCATGGTTTCCTATAACATCTCCCTTCAAAAAACCACGTTTGATAAGGCTTTGCAACACCCTCTGCTTCTCCCTCCCTTCCCACAGCCATATGCATTGAGAAATCAATAAAAACCAAATTCCTTTCCTGTCCAGGCATCCCATGGCCTCTAAAAAGTGCAAACCTTCATTGTTTTATGTCATTCACAGGTGAGGTGCCTGAGGTGAAGAGTCTGACCCAATAGCTGCAGTTCTGACACACATACTCTCTGCCCCGGTCGGGAGGTGGGGGGAGGTATTGGGGGGGAGCAGTGTACACTCCTTCACTCCTTCCCCTTTCGTAGGGACAAAGGAACCACACATCTCATTTACAACCGTTCGAGAAGACCAGAAGCCAACATTCCAGAGTTTTGTAACACAGCCTGGAAACAGCCAAGATACCTCTCACCATAGGGCTGGCAGCTCTTCGGAAGCAGAAACCAGGTTTCCCCTATTTTTGAAAGCAGGGAGAGCCAGACCTT